TGTTCTTTTTGGATCTAGTGGCCGGAGACAGTTTGTCAGATGACCCCCAAACACTGAATTCGAGCCACAGTACACTGTGAAGACAGTGAAGCATGGTTGTGCAAGCATCATGATATGGGGATGTTTCTCATACTACGGTGTTGGGCCTATTTATCGCATACCAGGGATCGTGAATCAGTTTTAATACATCAGAATACTTGAGGTTATGCTGAAGAGGAAATGCCCTTGAAATGGGTGTTTCAACAAGACAACGACCCCAAACACACCAGTAAACGTGCAACATCTTGGTTCCAGACCAACAAGATTGACGTTATGGAGTGGCCAGCCCAATCCCCGGATCTTAATCCAATAGAAAACTTGCGGGGGTGACATCAAAAATGCAGTTTCTGAGGCAAAACCAAGAAATAGAGAAGAACTGTGGAATGTAGTCCAATCATCCTGGGCTGGAATACCTGTTCACAGGTGCCAGAAGTTGGTTGACTCCATGCAACACAGATGTATAGCAGTTCTCAGAAACAGTGCTTATACAACTAAATATTAATTAAGTGATTCAAAGGAAAGCAAAATCTTCAAACATTTTTCAGTTTATATAGTGAATGTTTGAGTTTGTAAAGAAGAATACAAACACTGCTTTTTTTTTTTTTTTTTTTTTTTTTTTTTTGAACAGTCCAATATTCACTTTTCTTCAATTATTATTTTTTTTTTTTTTTTTCTTCTTAGAGGAACAACACATTTGATATTTTTCTTCATGTTTTGATTTGGAATAGCATGTGTAGTGTTCCCAATGCATTTGTGTGTATGGAAATAAAAGCTATTAGAGGATTTTGAGCTTTATTCACTTTTTTCAACACACTGCTATTTTGAACACAACTGTGTATATATGTACAGGTAACTCGAAAAATTAGAATATTGTGCAAAAGTTCATTTATTTCAGTAATGCAACTTAAAAGGTGACACTAATATATGAGAGAGACCCATTACATGCAAAGCAAGATAGTTCAAGCCGTGATTTGTCATAATTGTGATGATTATGGCTTACAGCTCATGAAAACTCCAAATCCACAATCTCAGAAAATTAGAATATTACATGCAATCAATTAAAACCAAGGATTGTACAGAGAACAATATTGGAGCTCTGAAAAGTATAAGCATGCATATGTACTCAGTACTTGGTTTGGGCCCCTTTTGCAGCAATTACTGCCTCAATGCGGCGTGGCATGGAAGCTATCAGCCTGTGGCACTGCTGAGGTGTTATGGAAGACCAGGATGCTTCAATAGCGGCCTTCAGCTCTTCTGCATTGTTCAGTCTCATGTCTCTCATCTTTCTCTTGGCAATGCCCCATAGATTCTCTATGGGGTTCAGGTCAGGCGAGTTTGCTGGCCAATCAAGCACAGTAATCCCACGGTCATTGAACCAGGTTTTGGTGCTTTTGGCAGTGTGGGCAGGTGCCAAGTCCTGCTGGAAAATGAAGTCAGCATCCCCATAAAGCTCGTCTGCGGAAGGAAGTATGAAGTGCTCCAAAATCTCCTGGTAGACGACTGCATTGACCCTGGACTTAATGAAGCACAGTGGACCAACACCAGCAGATGGCATGGCTCCCCAAATCAACACAGACTGTGGAAACTTCACACTGGATTTCAAGCATCTTGCAGTGTGTGTGCCTCTCCATTCTTCCTCCATACTCTGGGTCCTTGGTTTCCAGATAAGATGCAAAAGTTGCTCTCATCAGAAAAGAAGACTTTGGACCACTGAGCAACAGACCAGGTCTGTTTTTTTTCTTTAGCCCAGGTAAGAGGCTTCTGACGTTATTTGTGGTTCAGGAGCGGCTTGACAAGAAGAATACGACATTTGAAGCCCATGTCCAGGATCCGTCTGTGTGTGGTGGCTCTTGATGCACTGACTCCAGCCTCAGTCCACTCCTTGTGAAAGTCTCCATTATTCCCCATTGTTGGTGGGAGGAAAGGAATAGTGTTTTTGTATCAGTGGGAGGAAAAGTGCCTTTAGAGCCAGGTAAAGGCTAGCAAAGGGCCACATCCGAGCCGCAGTTTGGAGACCACTGAACTAGAGACACCAGTGAGGTATATTGTGACTTGTGGTGTTGCAGAGTCAGGAGATATGCTGCTGTGACTTCTAGTGCTAAAGAGATGAGAGGTTCTGCTGGGAATTGTAGTGCTACCAAAATGGGAGAGAGGCTAATGGAACTTTGTAGTGCAACAGAGACAGGAGAAAGAGATTGAGAGTGCAGAAACAGTCAATTTTATTATCTGTAGTGCTGTAGGGAAGGAAGAGATACTGCTGGAACTTGTAGTGCTCTGGAGACAGAAGAGATGCTGCTGGAACTCCTAGTACTATGGAGAAGAGAGGGATTCTACTGGGCCTTTTTTGTACTGCAGAGACAGGAGGGAGACTGATGGGACTGCAGAAACCAAATTTTTTTTTTTTTTTTTTTTTTTTTTTTTGATCTCGTGCTGTAGGGAAAGAGATTCTGCTGGAACTTATAGTGCTTTAGAGACCGGAGAGATGTTGGGACTCCTAGTACTACAGAGAAGAGAGAGACGCTGCTGGGATTTGTAGTACTGCAGAGACAGGATAGATGCTGCTGGGACTCCTAGTACTACAGAGAAGAGAGATGCTGATGGGATTTGTAGTACTGCAGAGACAGGAGAAATGGGACTCATATGTACTAGGGAAATGGGAAAGATATTGCTGGGACTTGTAGTACTATGGAGACAGGAGAGATGCTGGGACTTGTAACTTGTAGTGCTATGGAGACTGGAGAGATGCTACGAGGGAGATGCTCTAGGGAATTGTAGTGCTGTAGAGACGAGATATGCTGCTGTGACTTCTAGTGCTAAAGAAACAAGAGATTCTGCTGGGACTTGTAGTGTTACCAAGATGGGAGAGAGGCTGATGTGACTTGTAGTGCAACAAAGACAGGAGGGAGACTGAGTGCAGAAACAGGATAAATGTTATCTACAGTGCTGTAGGGAAAGAAGAGATGCTGCTGGAACTTGTAGTGCTTTGGAGGCGGGATAAAAAAAAACTGTATGGTGTAGCGCTAGGTGGTGATAATATAGTGTGTAAATTGTAATGATCAAACCAACAAATAAATGCACATAAAGAACACACAGGTAAATATACATAAAACACTCCCCTTGAATAACCCCAATAATAAGGGGAGCCAATGGGTGACTCAGTGAACATACAGTGGTTCCAGAGGAAAAACACAAGACCGTGCAAGTGTAGCACACTCAATAAGTGGTAATAGTGCGTTCATATACCGTCCACTTCAAACACAAGTGTAAAATCTTCATAATTGTGAGAGTGCCACTGGTGTCACAATCCTAAAGTGGTCTGAGTGCCCCCTCACCACCTTGCAATGACCACAAGGGCCAGCACACTTTGTTATATATAGCACGTGTCCCTCAGGAGCCACCTTGTCTAAAAGACCATACTGGATACCACATCAGACCGCTGTCATCCAGATCTCCTCCAGCCACTGATTATTCTGGTAATACCTCTTTCCCACAGGGTCATACTCAGACACAAATAGAAATCCTCCATAGTGTAATACAGTAATTTTATTAAGAAATACAAATGCCCACTCACATCCTAACAGACGATAATATGCAAGAAATCCTCATAGCATAGGTATGCATGGAGTCCCAATATGGCGCGTGCGCTGGAAGTGACGTCTGCGCATTCTGGAAGTGTCGTAAGGGCGTACGCACCATATTGGGACTCCATGCACCATACAGTTTTTTTTTTTTTTTTTTTTTTTTTTTTTTTTTTTTTTTTTTTTTGTGTATTTTGGTATAAAGGAGGGTGTCGGCAGCTTGGAGTAGTTTATCCATCTGAGCGCAGGAGGTTTTTATTTTTCTTGGAGACAGGATAGATGCTGCTGGGACTCCTAGTACTACAGAGAAGAGATATGCTGCTGGGATTTGTAGTACTGCAGAGACAGGAGAAATGGGACTCGTATGTACTAGGGAAATGAAAGAGATATTGCTGGGACTTGTAGTACTATGGAGATGAGGAAGATGCTGCTGGGACTTGTAGTGCTACAGAGATTGGCGAGATGCTGCTAGGACTTGTAGTACAATGGAGATGGGGTAGATGCTGCTGGGATTTGTAGTGCTATGGAGACAGATGCTGCTAGGACTTGTAGTGCAGTGGAGACGGGGGAAGATGCTGCTGGGACTTGTAGTACAATGGAGATGGGGTAGATGCTGCTAGGACTTGTAGTGCAGTGGAGACGGGGAAGATGCTGCTGGGACTTGTAGTACAATGGAGATGGGGTAGATGCTGCTAGGACTTGTAGTGCTATGGAGACTGGCGAGATGCTGCTGGGACTTGTAGTTCTATGGAGGTGGGACAAATGCTGCTGAGCAGGTCTATGGACATGAGATGCCACTGGAACACACTTGTACAGGGCTGGTAGATTTTTCTAGTAAAACGTGCCGGGACTTTTAACTATGCAGAGTCAGAATGGCATCAATAGGACATGCTAGAATTTGTAGCTGTGCAGAGAAAGGAGCTGGAGACCAGTAGGACATGCTTGGAATTGTAATGCTGCACAGGCCTAAGATATTTCAGTGATTCATTTGATGGGGCGTATTGGCAATACTGAGGTACTGAACAGTAATAAGTATTTAAAACCGTTCTGCCTTCACTCACTACATGCCTGTTCAAGGTCAGTGACTCAAAAAGTAACAAAGTCAGAGGTTCAGCATGATAGCCAGGCAAGTAGTATTTTCAGGTGGAGGTCAAAGCAGCCACCATATTTTTTTTATCAAAGTCAGGCCTATACACAGCTATAACTAGAGGTTGTAGAGGGTACTGTTCTCCAACCCACCACCATGGTGAGTGACCTCATATTATCACCCAAGGTGAATGTCAGAATTGGTTTGATCGTTGGATTCTCAACTACATAATATGTTGCTGTTAATGATTTGTCTGAATTTACAAACCCATTTTTTTTTTTTTTTTTTTTTTTTTGTCCCCCTTAGGAGAACATTTAAGTGAAGAATTTTCCAAAGTGAATCCGCTTCGAAAGGTGCCGTTCCTTAAAGATGGAGACTTCACAATGGCTGAGAGGTGAAGTCCATTTTGCTGCAATTTGTAATAAGACTGTGGTGTTCAGAATGCCTTTAGAACATGTTCATATGTTCTGTGGCCCTTGTTGCCCCTCTGAAAAGCTATCCAGTGTGGATCACTTTTTGGAGACCTCTGTCAGATGTTGAGGAACTTATGTCAATGCTTGATTTAACCCTGTAAACACTGCAATTGTGTACATTGGACACGGTTGTCGCAGAGGCCCATGGACTTGCATGGGTCATGGGCTTGGCATGTGTACAGCCCTGAGCATCTGTATGCCTGTGTTCAGGTGGGCAGTCAGAGGGTGGTAAAACTAGAGCTTAACCACCTGGTTTTACTTTTCCCCTGGCTGCATGTGTGAATGGACCCTTAAAGACTAGGTTCACCTTTTTAGGGAAAAAAAAAATAATAAATGCACATATTTTTGCAAGAAAAAAAATGTGCATTTATTATTTTTTTTCCCCAGGAGCCTGCAAAGCATTGCAGCCTCAATCAGTGGATCACAGGTGCATTGTCAGGCTCCTGCAGACAAGTCCTATAGCTTTTTGCTAATGCCTCTCTACAGGCCTTTCTGTTTTGAAAGCTGCAGGACTTGTGAATAGACTACAAGCACGCTGATCAGCACAGTCAGTCCATTGAGACTACAATTCGGTTTGCTGTGAATGAATGATGCGACTGTGTTGGAGATGTCACGAGGGTGAGCAGTGGTGAGGGAACATGTTACACGCTAAATACGGGTGTAAAATGTAATCTGTTCCAAAAGGCAAGCGGAACATTTTAAAGTGGAACTCCTGCTATCTTTTTTGATAGAGTAAAATTAGTATCTGTAATTCCTAATTTTTTTTTTTTTTTTTTTTTTTTTTTTTTTTTTTTGCTCTGTAAAATTCAGCTGGGAAGTTCAATTCACATTTTCTATCTTGGTGACATGGAGGAAAAAAAAGAAAAATAAATTCTAGTCACCAGAACAGGGGCAGAGAGAATATCTTAATGGGTTAATGGGGACATCTCTTCCAGTGACAGCAGAGAAATGTAGAATATCTTTGGATAAGGACCCTTACCACTTGTTAATATGGGATAGAACAATAGGGGAAAAAACATCAAACTGGAACATGAAAAAAAAAATGCATTTAAAATCTGGCAATTCTAAGCTTCCCTACCCTATGTTGTGTCTGTTTAAGTCCGAGTTCCAATAGGTCTCAGCTAGTAGTATGAGAAGCGATTTGTATACAGCTACAATTTACAAAGCCTTCAGCCAGCTTCAAAACTCCTCTAAACCCCAAACCAAACGTATATTATATTGCAGCTTACTGGTCTTCAGATGTGGTGGCTGAATTGGGTTTTGCTTTTCAGACTAAGAACATATTTACAAGTACAGAAAATATCTGTTTATTTTGTTGAAGTGCAATGTCCTTGTCACTTCCCATGAGCTTAAAGAACTCCAGGAATTGCAGCATTTTTTTTTTAAAAATGTGCTGGCTTATAAGGGTTAAAAGGGAAGAAGTGTGGGAATACGAATAAACAAACATACAGTCATGGCCGAAATTGTTGGCACCCTTGATATTTCTCCAGGAAATCATGTATTTCTCACGAAACGTATTGCATTAACACATGTTTTGCTATACACATGTTTATTCCCTTTGTGTGTATTGGGACAAAACAAAAAAAGGGAGGAAAGAAAGCAAATTCGACATAATGTCACACAAACCTCCAAAAATGGGCTGGACAAAAGTATTGGCACCCTTTCACAACTGCCTTAAATAAGAATGTTAAAGCATGTGATGCTCCTGTAAAACTCACCTGGGGCAAGTAACAGGTGTGGGCAATATAGAAATCACACCTGGAAAGCAGATAAAAAGGAGAGACGTTCACTTAACCTTTGCATTGTGTTTGTCTGTGCCACACTAAGCATGGACAACAGAAAGAGGAGACGAGAACTGTCTGAGGACCTTCCAAAATTGGCAAAATATCAACAATCTGTTACAAGTCCATCTCCAGAGAACTAGATTTGCCTTTTCCACAGTGCGCAACATTATCAAGAAGTTTGCAACCCATGGCACTGTAGCTAATCTCCCTGGTCCTTGGACGGATGAGGAAAATTGATAGATTGCAACGCAGAATAGTCCGGATGGTGGATAAGCAGCCCCAAACATGTTCCAAAGACATTCAAGCTGTCCTGCAGGCTCAGGGAGCATCAGTGTCAGCGCGAACTATCCGTCGACATTTAAATGAAATGAAACGCTATGGCAGGAGACCCAGGAGGACCCCACTGCTGACACAGAGACATAAAAAAGCAAGACTACAGTTTGCCAAAATACTTTAAGCCAAAAGCCTTCTGGGAAAACGTCTTGTGGACAGATGAGACCAAGATAGAGCTTTTCGGTAAAGCACATCATTCTACTGTTTACCGAAAACGGAATGAGGCCTACAAAGAACAAAACACAGTACCTACGGTAAAATTGGTGGAGGTTCAATGATGTTTTGGGGTTGTTTTGCTGCCTCTGGCACTGGGTGCCTTGACTGTGTGCAAGGCATCATGAAATCTGAGGATTACCAAAGGATTTTGGGTCGCACTGTAGGGCCCAGTGTCAGAAAGCTGGGTTTGCGTCCAAGATCCTGGGTCTTCCAGCAGGACAATGACCCCAAACATACGTCAAAAAGCACTCAGAAATGGATGGCAAAGAAGCGCTGGAGAGTTCTGAAGTGGCCAGCAATGAGCCCAGATCTAAATCCCATTGAACACCTGTGGAGAGATCTTAGAATTTGCTGTTGGGAAAAGGTGTCCTTCCAATTGACCTGGAGCTGTTTGCAAAGGAAGAGTGGTCCAAAATTCCGGGTGAGAGGTGTCAGAAGCTTATTGATGGTTATAGGAAGCGACTGATTTCAGTTATGTTTTCCAAAGGGTGTGCAACCAAATATTAAGTTAAGGGTGCCAATACTTTTGTCCAGCCCATTTTTGGGGTTTTGTGTGACATTATGTCATATTTGCTTTTCTGCCTCTGTTTTATATTTGTTCCAATACATACAAAGGGAATAAACATGTGTATAGCAAAACATGTGTTAATGCAATACCTTTTTTGTGTGAAATACTTGATTTTCGAAAAATATCAAGGGTGCCAACAATTTCGGCCATGACTGTACATACTCACCTCCGTACTTTGGCAGTACTTCTCTTTTAGGTCTGAGATGTATGCCACCTTAATGGACTAATCTTTGTTTCCATTTTTACTGAGCACTGGGAGTATAGCTTCAGCTGTTTTCAGTCGATTTTATGCTGGACCTTCAGGTCTCCAATCCTGCAGCTATGGAGTCTTTTGCAGCCAATCTACCCGCCCCTCCTCTCCTTTGCCTATTTACAGAAGGCTTTGTATTATCTGAATCCATTCACAAAATTTTTATTTATTTTTTAAAATTTATTTCAGGTACTTTGTATAGCGCCGTTAATTTATGCAGCGCTTTACATATATATTGTACATTCACATCAGTCCTTAACCCTTAAGGGGTGTATAAACGTAAAGGTCCCTAACTCGCATTCATACATACACATACTAGGGACAATTTAGACAGGATCCAATTGACCTACCAGCATTTCTTTGAGTGTGGGAGGAAACCGGTGTACCTGGAAGAGGGGCGAGCAGTGCAGCTGTTGTGTAGCAGAGTGCAACTCTGAGTACCATTGCGATAGCTGTAGTCCTGGCACCCAGTAAAAATGTAAAAATAAGAGAGAAGTCCATGAGGTGGTGTATGCCCCTTTATAAACGAACATGTTTTTAAAAGGGTTGAAATTCCTGGAGTTTTCTTCCCCTCCATGTAGTACATGCACAGTTTCTGAAGATCCTGAAAAAGCTCACGTGAACAGTGAGTGAAACACAATGACGTCACAACGTCACAACGTCACCACGCCCGCACCCTGGGCTGCACCACATGTCTTTCCACCATGCCGCTTCATTCTGATGTCTAGAATGGAACAGCTTGATTCATCTATATTGAGATGCCACTAACTGAGCCACCACCTGAATTGGAACATACACTATATATTGCCAAAAGTATTGGGACGCCTGCCTTTACACGAACATAAACTTTAATGGCATCCCAGTCTTAGTCCGTAGGGTTCAATATTGAGTTGGCTCACCTTTTGCAGCTATAACAGCTTCAACTCTTCTGGGAAGGCTGTCCACAAGGTTTAGGAGTTTGTCTATGGGAATGTTTGACCATTCTTCCAGAAGCACATTTGTGAGGTCAGGCACTGATGTTGGACGAGAAGGTATGACTCGCAGTCTCCGCTCTAATTCATCCCAAAGGTGTTCTATCAGGTTGAGGTCAGGACTCTATGCAGGCCAGTCAAGTTCCTCCACCCCAAACTCGCTCATCCATGTCTTTATGGACCTTGCTTTGTGCACTGGTCCGCAGTCATGTTGGAACAGGAAGGGGCCATCCCCAAACTGTTCCCACAAAGTGGGGAGCATGAAATTGTCCAAAATGTCTTGGTATGCTGATGCCTTAAGAGTTCCCTTCACTGGAACTAAGAAAAAGCTTGAAATAGAGAAAATGAATGCAGCCACTACAATGAAGCACTAGTAAGCTCCAATATATTACATTTTTGTTTTGGGGATTAGATACGCTTTGTTGTACATAATAATAATTTTTTTCAGACTAGCATATATGAACTGAAACTTGTGTGCACTAATTCTAACAATTGCTGTGTTTATAATGCGACAGGGCATCCTACTCTGCAACGTATTTGTTTCTAACTAATACCAGCCTACCTTTTTATTGTCATTCACCAGTACTGCAATGCTTCTGTATCTGGCCAACAAGTATAAGACCCCTGATCACTGGTATCCATGCGACCTACAAAAACGTGCTCGTGTTGATGAATATCTTGCTTGGCAGCATACCAATACCCGTCCACATTGTTCCAAATTATTCTGGGTTAAGGTGAGATGTGTTTTTTTTTTTTTTTTTTTTTTTTTTTTTTTTTTTTTTTTGTTTTGTTTTTTCCACTGCACAGCTTGGTGTCATCTGCAAAGACTTAAGTGGGATTTTTAATCCCAGACCCTATATTGTTTATAAATCTATTAAAAAGTAAAGGTCCCAACACTGAACCTTGGGGTACACCACTGATGACCCCAGACCATTCAGAGTATGAATCATTAACCACTACTCTTTGAATGCGATCTTTTAGCCAGTTTTCTATCCATTTACATACAGATTTTCCCAAGCCCATAGACTTTACCTTACACATTAGCCGTGTGCGGGGAACTGTGTCAAATGCTTTTGCAAAATCCAAGTATACCACGTCCACCGCCACCCCCTGTCCAAGGTTTTGCTCACCCCCTCATAAAAAGAAATCGGATTTGTTTGACAACTTCTGTCTTTCGTGAATCCATGCTGTCTGTTGCTTAAAATATTTTTTTTTCAGCAAGAACTCATCTATGTGGTCTTTTATTAAACTCTCCAGTATCTTCCCAACTATAGACGTTTAAACTAACCGGTATATAATTACTTGGTAAAGATTTTGACCCCTTTTTAAATATTGGCACCACGTTGGCCTTACACTAATCCAGTGGTACTATGCCAGTCATTAAAGAGTCCCTAAAAATGAGAACCAATGGCTTTGAAATGGCAGAGCTCAATTCTTTAAGGACCCGTGGGTGTATGCCATCTGGTCCAGGTGCTTTATTCACCTTTTTATACTTTCTAAATATTTTTGGATCATATCAGTTGTGAGCCAATGTGGATCATCTGGAGCTGTGTCAATACCATGCCCATTATGGACAAGAGCTCCCCCATGCTCCTTCGTATACACAGAGCTGAAGAAGGTATTTAATTTGCCTTCTCTTTGTCCCCAGTCACCCACTCTAGATTATTTTTTAAAGGGCCTACATGCTCAGACGGATTTTTTTTTTTTTTGTTTTTTTTTTTTTTTTTTTTTTCTACACTGATTGCTTTTACACCCATAAAGGCTGTAAAAGCAATCATTTCTCCTTCTCCCTGGCTGCAAGAATGCAGCCATTGAGAAATACTGTGTGATCTGTGATTTGTCACATGGTACAAGGTTTGTTGTGAATAGCCTTGTACCATGTGACCTCTGTGAGCATTCACAGATTTCACAAGTAGTAAGCAATGATGTCAGAAGTGACATCTTACTTACTACTGTTCATGTGATCACTGATTGGCCAATCAGTGATCACATGATTGGGACCTCACACAGAGGTCCCATACAGTGGGCATCGGGTTGTGGTGCCACGTACTCCCAGGGAGCGTGCACAATCCAAAATGACGGGCGCCGTTTATGAACGGCAACCCGCCCCTGCACTGCCACCGTCTGGCTGTTTATATCCAGCGGCCGGACGGCAAGTGGTTAAATGATGATAGCGTTTCCTTCATTTTTATATTTAATAACCGCTCTTCTTATTATCTATAGCCTTTTTAACTTTGGCCGTAAGCCACATAGGTTTGATTTTTAGCCTTTTAAACTTGTTGACCATGGGACTATATTTGCAGTGTGTTCACATTCAGTCTTTTTGAAGAACTCCCATTTCTGTGTTGTGTTCATTGATGCCAATATTCCCTGCCAGTCTAAGTCTTGGAGAGCAGCTCTAAGCCTTGGAAAATTAGCTCTCTTGAAATTGAAGCATTTTTATTTTTCCCGTACATGCTTGCTGTTTACAGCTAACAATAAAGAAAATCATGTTTTGGTCACTGCTACCCAGATGTTCTTTTTATATGGATATTCGTAATAAGCTCTGCATGGTTTGAGATTACCAGGTCCAGCAGAGCATCATTCCTAGTAGGGGCCTCTATGAACTGTAACATAACATTGTCCTGTAGTAGGTTTAAAAATGTTTGCCCTTTAACTTTCCTAGATTGTAAGCTCGAAAGAGCAGGGCCCTCGAACCCCTCGTGTGTTGTATTGTTACTGTTTTGTCTCATGTTCTGTCCCCTTGTTACTGTATAGCGCTGAGCATACCCTTTGGCGCTATATAAATACTGTATAATAATAAAAACTGTTCCTGCAGTACCATTACTCCAGTCAATTTCTTTCCCCATTCTATCCATCAATAAGTACTGACCCCTGTCTGATATGTCTACCCCGTTATAATCTAATTCTATGTGTTGTAAGCAAATTGCACCACTAATGTGCAAGTTCTGTAGCATCTTCGCTCAAAAATGACACCTACACCAGGCATCATGCTCAGGAATTGTCTGTGTCAGAAACTTCTTGTGGTCTTCACTGTAATGGCGAAAAATTCATAGGCTAAGCATAAATGGTGCTGACAAATTGTTGCATGGGAAGGAAGAACTTCATGCATGGGTCTGTATTTTGGAGCCATTTCTGCTTATCTGTAGATGCACATACTTTAATGCAGATGAATACTATTGCAACAATGTTTCTATCTGTACCTGCTGGCACTAAACTGACGCACCTACTGCCGCTGCACCAGTGTGCATTTCTGCACACACCAACACTACACCAACATCCACTTCTGCAACCTTCATCACTGTACTGACCTGTGCTTCTAAACCTGCCAACACTGCATCGACGGACCCTTCTGCATCTGTCTCTACTGCACCTAAGTAGACCTCTGCACCTACCCCAGAGATTCACTTATGCACCAACATGCCCTTCTGCATCCAATACCACATTCCATTCAGCGAATGTATCGCTATTTTTTACACCTCAACATTGTTCTAATTTTTTGTTTTCATTATCCCTGTTCAATGAACAGCAACACTTTTGCTAGTTCTAGTTTGATTTCAAATGCTTTGCTTGAGTAATGCTGTGAAGTAGGTGGGTAAATGAGGTAGACCCATGGTTTATTGTTGAAGATTCAGCAGATTTCACGAAGGTCATGGTGGTTAAAGTATACAGTGGGGCAAAAAAGTATTTAGTCAGCCACCAATTGTGCAAGTTCTCCCACTTAAAAAGATGAGAGAGGCCTGTAAATTGGCATCATAGGTAGACCTCAACTATGAGAGACAAAGTGAGAAAAAAAATCCAGACAATCACATTGGCTGATTTGGAAAGAATTTATTTGCAAATTATGGTAGAAAATAAGTATTTGGTCACCTACAAACAAGCAAGATTTCTGGCTCTCACAGACCTGTACCTTCTTCTTTAAGAGGCTCCTCTGTCCTGCAATCATTACCTGTATCAATGGCACCTGTTTGAGGTTGTGGACAGGTGTCTTTTAAACTGATAACAAGTTCAAACAGTCACACTCCAAACTCCACTATGGTGAAGACCAAAGAGCTGTTGAAGGACACCAGAAACAAAATTGTAGACCTGCACCAGGCTGGGAAGACTGAATCTGCAATGTAGGCAAGCAGCTTGGTGTGAACAAATCAACTGTGGGAGCAATAATTAGAAAATGGAAGACATACAAGACCACTGATAATCTCCCTCAATCTGGGGCTCCACGCAAGATCTCACCCCGTGGGGTCAAAATGATCACAAGAATGGTGAGCAAAAATCCCAGGACCACACGGGGGACCTAGTGAATGACCTGCAGAGAGCTGGGACCAACGTAACAAAGGCTACCATCAGTAACACACTACGCTGCTAGGGACTCAGATCCTGCAGTGCCAGATGTGTCCCCTGCTTAAGCCAGTACATGTCCGGGCCCGTCTGAAGTTTGCTAGAGAGCATTTGGATGATCCAGAAAAGGATTGGGAGAATGTCATGTGGTCAGATGAAACCAAAATAGAGCTGTTTGGTAGAAACACAACTCGTCGTGTTTGGAGGAGAGAGAATGCTGAGTTGCATACAAAGAACACCGTACCTACTGTGAAGCATGGGGTGGTAACATCATGTTTTGGGGCTGTTTCTCCGCAAAGGGACCAGGACGACTGATCCATGTACAGGACAGAATGAATGGGGTCATGTATCGTGAGATTTTGAGTGCAAACCTCCTTCCATCAGCAAGGGCATTGAAGATGAAACGTGGCTGGGTCTTCCAACATGACAATGATCCCAAACATACTGCCCGGGCAATGAAGGAGTGGCTTCGTAAAAAGCATTTCAAGGTCCTGGAGTGGCCTAGCCAGTCTCCAGATCTCAACCCCATAGAAAACCTTTGGAGGGAGTTGACAGTCCGTGTTGCCCAGCGACAGCCCCAAAACATCACTGCTCTAGAGGACATCTGCATGGAGGAATGGGCCAACATACCAGCAACAGTGTGTGCCAACCTTGTGAAGACTTACAGGAAACGTTTGTTATATATCCTTTGTTGGCAATGATAGAGGTCAAAGTATTGAGATGAACTTTTGATATTTATCAAATACTTATTTTCCACCATAATTTGCAAATAAATTCTTTCCAAATCAGCCAATGTGATTGTCTGGATTTTTTTCTCATTTTGTCTCTCGTAGTTGAGGTCTACCTATGATGCCAATTACAGGCCTCTCATCTTTTTAAGTGGGAGAACTTGCACAATTATTTGCTGACTAAATACTTTTTTTGCCCCACTGTATATGCGGGGATCTTAATGTGTACTCCAGTCTATTAATATTTATTTATTGGTTTTTAGTTGTGGATAAAGTAGGAAAAGGTTAGAATCTACTAGACCACTTTTAAAGCTGCCTGTGTGTAGGTACCTGTTGGTGCCAGTACTCAGTCCAGGAGGTAATTTAACAAGCTTAGACCACAGCTTTGCTTATAGGTCTATGTTGTGTGCCACATTGGAGTGTTACTATAGGAGGTCTAGTAGGCTGATTATAAGAAAGATGAGTTCAATTGGTGATATCCCATTTTGCACTGCAAAAGATGAACCAAACTCTTCCCCATCCTACCTTCACAAAGCAGTGCAAGACCCTACATAAGAAGGGAGACATAAAGCAAAGCAAATATAAAAGGATTGCTACTTATGTGTCCCCACCCCCCCCCCCCCTCCCCCTCCCCCCCAAAGGGCCTACTATTTTGGTCCCAAGGTTTTGATCAGTCTAGGGGTATTGTTTTGATTCTTTATTGAACAAACTTAGATGGGTGCGCAGTAATTGTGGGATACTCCAGTAACGTTAAGCAGTAATTTGTGGATGCCTATGTTGCTCCTAAAGATTCTGAGCACAGTCCTTGCAGCAGCAAATAATTGGCTGAGCTACACGGGACACCAGGGGAAAATGTCTAACTTTCAGTACAATTTTTACTCTGTTGCAAGTGGGTCTCACACACCAGTCTGTACTAGCCAGTGTCCCTGGATAATTGGATGCCTCCTTACAATATCTTCCGGACACCTCTCCAGTGAATACTCCAGACCAGATTCCCCAATAAAGTCCCTCAGCCAGCTTCAGCAGAATTTAGCTAAATAGGCTCCCCATCTAGTCAGTTGGGTCCCAATGAGTAGTAGAAAAGCACAACTAAATGATTTATGCTCACTCCCAGCCACCATTTTGGCACCCTCCCCCAGGGATTAAATATAGTAAATTACACATATTGTATTTAAATATATCACCAGTATGATAAAATAGTAAATTACACATTATGGTTACCATAACCATATTGTGTAACCCATGCTATCCGTTATGGTTAGTATAATCCTAACCTGTATGGTTTATAGGGTTTTGTCATTTTTTACTTTAAATATTTATTTTTCTAACAGGTAATGACACCCTTTCTCCTTGGCCATGAAGCTGAACCTGAGAAGTTGGATCCTGTGTTGACTGAATTTAATACCACATTGACTGCTATAGAAGAAAAGTTCCTAGGAGGGAAGCCTTTCATAGCTGGTGATGAGATGTCCATAGCCGATCTAGTGGCTATTGTGGAGATCATGCAGGTAAGTGACTAGCTAGGATATTTTAATTTTCACCCTGTATTGCTTACTGTATCCATTATCCAAGTAAACATACATACATATTAATATTATACACACTATGTTGTAGCTTCAAGGTTTAGAAGTGTGTCTATGGGAAGGTTTGACCATTCTTCCATAAGAGCATTTGTGAAATCGGGCACTGATGTTAATGAACTCCTGGCTTGCAGTCTCCGCTCTAATTCATCCCAAAGGTGTTTTATCAGGTTGAGGTCAGGACTTTGTACAGACCAGTCAAGTTCCTCCACCCCAAACTCGCTCATCCATGTCTTTATGGACCTTGTATTGTGCACTGGTACAGTCATGTTGGAACAGGAAGGGGCCATCCCCAAACTGTTCCCACAAAGTTGGGAGCATGAAATTGTCCAAAATTGCTTGGTATGCTGACGCCTTAAGCGTTCCCTTCACTGGAACTAAAGGGCCAAACCCAACCCCTGAAAAACGTCATAATCCCCACCTCCACCAAACTTTACTCTTGACACAATGTAGTTAGACAAGTACCGTTCTCCTGGCAACCACCAAACTCAGACACATCCATCAGATTGTCAGACAGAGAAGCATGATTTGTCACTCCAGAGAACTCGTCTCCACTGCTCTAGAGTCCAGTTGCGGTGTGCTTTACACCACTGCATCCAGTGCTTTGTGATGTGCACTTGGTGATGTAAGGCTTGGATGCAGCTGCTCGGCCATGGAAACCCATTCTATGAAGCTCTCTATGCACTGTTGTGCTAATCTGAAGGCCATACAAAGTTTGGAGGTCTTTAGCTATTGACTCTGCAGACAGTTGGCAACTTCTGCACACTATGCACTTCTGCAAGCGCTGACCCCGCTCTGTCATTTTATGTGGCCTACCATGTCGTGCCTGAGTTGCTGTTTCCAGTTGCTTCCACATTGTCATAATACCACTAACAGTTGACCACAGAACATTTAATAGCAAGGAAATTTCACAGATGGACTTACTGCACAGGTGGCAACCTATCAGGGTACCACGCTTGAATTCACTGAGCTCCTGAGAGCGACCTATTCTTGTAATACCTGAATCAATGATTTGGAGGGGTGTCCCAGTACTTTTGACACTATATAGTATACATACACTCGTGACTCAGCAGTGACTGCTCATTTGATAGATGGCTCCCTTTTTGAATTTTCAGACAAAGCAGTGCTTCAAGGCAGACAGCTTCATCTAGGCTTGTAGGCTCGTTACTTAGCTAACCCATAGTGCTCTTGGTATCTTTTTGTCATGCAGTAAAATATTTGTAATTCCAGAGATTGTTCTTAATCACAAACAACTGTATCAGTGGCACACAGTTTCACAGTTAATTTTAATGTAGTATAACAGATCTTTTTTATTTAAATAAAAAAAAAAAGTTATATATACATATACACTTTTTTTTTTTTTTGTGTGCCACACACACACGTTCCTGATCATCATAAATAAAATACAGTACACTGTACTGCATCCAGCATTTTATGAATGGACTGTAAAATGGGGCTATGATATGAGTAACCCTGTGGCTTTATACATTTTGAGCGGATGGTTGGTAATGTCCATTCTCTAGTGTACCCCCATAGTATTTTACCTTGTAATGGCTTTTCTTGTGTGTTAGACCATAATGTAATATGAGCCTATGTTACTATAACTGTCATGTACAGGACTGTTGCATGGTTGGAAATATAAATGAACAATAAAAAAAAAAACTATAGACCAGTAAACAGTAGAGCCGTTCATGAAACTATTTGCTATTCTGCTGCTTTTACAAGTTGTTCCATTTTAAAAACCCCATAGCAGCCATGAGCCATAACTGGTGCCTGGTATAAACAAACAAGGCTTAGAATGAGAGCTGCATTGTGTGTATCTCTGGACATGCAGCATGGCTCAGGATCAAGCCTGCATGAGTGCCCCATAGCAAGTGGCTTGCTGTGGAGGAAGGAGCCAGGAGCACTGGCGTGCACAGAGCAGGTAAGTATAACATTTCAAATGTATTTATATATTTTATATAATTAAACTTTTAAAATCGCATTAAGACTTGTACTGTTTACTATTCCAAACCAGAAAAAAATGATTAGCAAGAATTTCACTTTAAAGAAAAAAAAAAAGGAATCTGTTTTTTGTGACCCAATATGAAATTTCACATGACTTTTATTGTTTTACAGACTATTGCTGGTGGAATTGATGCTTTTGAAAACAAACCAAAGTTGGCAGATTGGAAAAATAGAGTGGAGGATGCAATTGGAGCTGCATTGTTCAAGGAAGCACATGAGAAAGTACTGAGAGTGAAGGACATGCAAAATATGCCCATCCCTCCAGAACTTAAGGAGCGACTTAGAGCCAGATTACAACAGTTCCCACTGATGAAGCTTTAAGAGGACATGAAAGTTTCTTTAATGTTAGGAGCCTATTTTGCAGCATCTAATTCTACTGGTTCTACTACTGTGTATTCAATTTGTCACCCCAGTAAAGGAATTTTTCAAAAAATTAAAATACCTTTTTGAAAGTGTCTGTCTTTCTTGAAGCCAGGCACAATACATTGCGTGGGGTTTGGCATTTTATAAAAGTCATATTGCCCGTTGTAAGATTTGTTGTATAGCAATGATTTTTGTGGTACATGTCATTCAATACTTACCTCCCCATCCTCCTCCAACCTGTTTTTGATGGGATTTTGTAGTTTTTCATTCATTTCATCAATTTGTGTTGCTATCATTTTTAAATTTGTATTACAGTGTATAATATTTTTAGCTGTCATTAATGTAGGGGTTGCATTACAGTGCTGACCAACTTCTCTGATGCTCCACCACATTACCGTGTGCACACACAGAACTGTTACAAAAGCAAAAAAAGATGAATGAAAAAAAATATATATATATAAATAATCTATCATGGGTTGGCACTCCAGCTGTTGGGGATCCACAAGTCTCATTAGGCATTGCAAGACTCCAAATGCCGCAGACATGACTTGCAAGAGGCATGATGGGAATTGTGGTTCCCCACAGTGCCATGATTGCCTACCCTTGATGAAGGGTATCATGTTTGATTTTTTTTTTTTTTTTTTATAAACATACCTTCAGACAATTGAACAAAGCTCAATCACAAGCAGTGGACAGTTGCATTCCACTTGTGCAAACAACTGAAAGTGAACTAAGCCTTAAAGTAGAACTAAACCCTTTCAAGGTTTAGAAAAACCGTTAAGCTGGGTACACACTGTTTGATTTTTTTTTTTTTTTTTTTATAAATCCAGTGGGCTGAACAAAATAACCTGACAGATCACCATACTAACACGTGATGTTAGTGCGGCAATCTCCCCTGTGGTGCCTGTGGGTTCCGGCAGGGGGACTGCTCCATTCCCCCCCTACCTGCACACACAACCAATGGCTGTGAGTGCTAATCGGAAGCTGGTTTTTCAGCATGTCCCTTCTGTCCAAAAGATCACTGTCAGCACTGACCCAATTTTGGCTGGTTTCTGTTGTGCTGGTAGATATTTGGCCTGTGTGTACCCAGCCTTACATTGCTGGCATGCTGGGAATGTTGACTGTCACATCTGCTTGTGCTCTCAACCAAACTGTCAAACCATCAAATGACTGGTGGTGTCATAACTGATCACATGTGCCTTAACATGGCAGTTGCAAATCAGAGGCTAAGATGGCAGCTTCCTTGGCTGAAAAGAATAGAAGGGGCGGACTGACGATTTGGAAACTCGGGCACTGCCCGGGGTCAGTAGGGGGCCCCATAAGATGCCCCTGGTACCTTTTTCATAGGCTTTTTTGAGTTTGGGCAAGGACACAGGGGCCCCATGATCCCCTATTGCGGGGGCCCCATGAGATGTCAGTCTGCCCCTGGGCTTAACTCCAAAGATGTGGTAGAGCTTAAAGCATGTGTCAAGGCGAAATTGAGTCCTCATGCACACTGGACATTTTTACAGCTGCTGTTTTTGGCTTTTTGACTTTTTTTTTTCTACAGCCAGTAAACCCCCCAGCATGTTATCCTATGTGTCCATGCACACATAGACTGTAATCAATGGTTTTTTTTTTTTTTTGGCAGCAATGTTCTTTGGCTAGAAAAAAAACCCAGGACTAGTGGGTTTCTAGAGGAATTTTTTAGCTATAAAAACGCTCTAACACTGAAAAATGTGGTAAAACACTGGTGTTTTTGGACTTTTTTTTGGTAAAAAAAAAATGCAAACGGTGAAAACGCCACTAAATGTGGCAAAACGCTGCCAAATGCTAATGCTAAAAAGCTGAAAAAAACTCAGTTTTTAATGTGAATTTACACAGCTAATGTTACCAGCGTTATTAAAATGCCCAGTGTGCATGGAGCCTAAAAGAAAAAAAAAACCTGTTTGGTACAACAGTCAGGTGAATTCACAATTGCATTTATTACAGGAATATGAAGGTATTCAGCTGTGTGTTACCTGTGCACCTAATTCACTACTGACTAAGGTCCAACTGTTAAACCCATATTTAGGATGTGACATGGATGCTAAACAACCACCCTCAAACTGCCACCCCTGAAAATATGAGGGGTGTTCTGCTCCATGGCAGCTGTCACCTTTGCCCACACATCTGCGTCATCAACTTGCAGATATCTGTAATTACAAATCCCATCTGGCACCACCGTAGTTCTCGAACCCAAATGTGGTGATTAACGCACCAGACGTGATTGACACTTCCTCCAGTTCTGTAACTGAAAATCCATACTGACAGGGATCTGGAGGAAGAATTTGCAGGAGCCTGTGCAATGCACCTGTGGTCCACTGTTTGCAGTCTCAGTTCTTAGGAGACTCGTTTTGTAAAAAAAAAAAAAACAAAAAACAAATTAAATGCCAATGGTTTTCCTTTTGCTGAAAATAGAGGTGCATTAACTGCTTACTCGCCGCCCTATAGTAGAACTACTATACAGGGCTGTGCAAAATCATGTATGTATGTATGTGTGTGTGTGTGTATGTATATGTGTATATATATATATATATATATATATATAATGTGTATGTGATTTGCATACCGCCCTACCCACGCCACCATTGGTGGCTAGGGATGTCAATCACCAGGTCCCGACCAGAGATTCCCCACCGGCACCTGGCGATCGCCGAGTACAACTGACGGGAGAGACTTGTGTGTAAAAAAAGGACAGGTCTCTCTCCTGCCAGCAAGGACATGCTGCTTTGTATTTCTCTGCACGACAAAGCAGCATGTCTCCATAGTAAAACAGCACACTTAGTAAAATGCACACAGTTAACCCTTTGTTCACCCAAATGTTAACTCCTGCCTACCTAGTGTCATTACTACAGCGTCAGTGCTTTTTATTAGCACTGATCACTGTATTAGTGTCACTGGGGATGTCAGTGGCAGGTAGGCAGTTCCCACCCAGTGTCAGAATGCCTGTCATCACGCAGGCCTGCTATAAGTCGCTGATTGCCGCCATTACTAGTATAATAAAAATTCCAGTGTATATATACCACTATAACTTTCACGTAAGCCAATTAGTTTACATGTATTTGGAATTTTTTTTTTAGCAAAGACATGTAGCAGAATACATTTTGGCCTAAATTTATGACAAAATTTGATTTTTAAATTTTTTTTTTATTAGATATGTTTTATAGCAAAAAGTCAAAAATATTTTTGTTTTCAAAATTTTTGGTCTTTTTTTGTTTATAGCGCAAAAAATAAAAACCTCAGAGGTGACCAAAAAAAAATCTCTCTTTATGGGGAAAAAAAAGACGAGTTTAATTTTTGTACAACATTGCATGACTGCACAATTATCAGTTAAAGTAACTCAGTACCATATTGCAAAAAATAGCCTGGTCAGGAAGGGGGGTAAATCCGCTGGAGGGCAACAAAATGTTGTTGATATTTTGGCAATTCATGTCAAGTGGGATGGATCAACCTTGGTACAACCAGCCTGCTCTTACATGGGTTGAAATTCAGCCGGTTCTTGCTGAACCAAATGAATGGCTTTATAGTTTGCATACACTTTAGTCTCAGTTTGGCCAGAATTCAAGGCCCCTTATACAGCCTGGATTAGGATGCAATGTGCCTCCACAGGCAATTCTTTAAGAACAAACACAAAATACTTACAAGTATTGCAAAGTGTCAGCACTTCAGGACTGAAACCGCTTCACATTCATGCATGCGGGAAGAAAGTAAAGCTGCTGCACCTATGTGCAGGCACCTCCAAGCCAATTTAACCACTTCCTGTCCACCCACAGATTTACTGTGAGCGGGCAGTGTCATGATCGCACGGTCGCCGCCACCAACATGCGACAATCGCACGACCGCGACTAAGAGTAATACATCACGCCCGCGGTGTCAGACCCCAGACCTCACCAACTCGTGACCGAAGGACCGGCCGATCTAAAACCGCGGTGTGGTGTGACGCGCGTAACAAGGCCCCACCCAGCTGCACCCTGCACAGCGATTGTCCAGCTAATGGGCTACAATCGGTGCCTGCATCCTGAATGCGCTTGTTACTGGGTCGGGTTAATTACGCAACTAACCCTCTACTGCCACTGCCACCACCACTTTTGTCGGAGACTGGGAAACTCCCGTTATCAAATATACACTATAATGATTGAAAAGTCGCCTGTCCAATACGGTCACCGCAGGCCGATTGGGCAGAGGGTTAAACAAACACAGTAGCGTCTCTTGAAAGGCAGGAATTCGTGAATTGCAAGTAAGCGCTTAGAAACAGTTTAACACTTTCAGAAAGAAGGATTTATTACTAAAAGAGTCAAACAGGTGCAATAAAATATTTACAAAGAAAATGTAACTATATATATATATATGCATATAAAGGTACAGCAAAGAAATGATAGGAAGTTAAAGGGTTAAGTTACTTGCCAATATGCCTTGGTTTGTAAGCAGATCCAAGTGCAGAGCAGGAAGGGTCTTTGATCTCCTCTGTTACGATGTTAAACTCAGGAGATGTGCTTTTCTTCTTAACTTTCAGGCTTGCAGCCTGTCCTTTTTAAAATCTCCCTGCAAGGGGGGGTGGCTCTGAGTCTGCCCAATACAATATTTTGGGCAGGATGTCAGTGGACTCTCAATTAAAACTAACAGCTTCATACTCCATGATATGAACATAGGTGACAGCTGACCTGAGGAATGTTCAATTAACTCCTGTCAGCTGGTCAGTTTTATGAGGTTTTAACTTCTTTCAAGTCCGGGGAGAAGCTGCCTTATCTGTTTTATCAATAAATAAATAATTTGCGCTAGTAAATGTGTATAAATATATAAATATATATGAAGAAATCATCAAATCATAAGTCCAGAAAAAAATATATATATATGCCAATACCACAAAAAAAATAAATATAAAAAAACTTTTAGGTGCAAAAAACTTTTGTGCAGAAAAAGTGTCTGAATATGAAAAA